TATTAATGTTGCTCAATACGAGCGTTTAAGATCTGATGTATTTGTAAAAGTGGGTTAACGCTGGGTTTAATGGCTGCAGGAGTGTTGCTATGGTGTTGCTATGGTGTTGCTATGGTGACCTAATTCAGCCATTCATCATGGTACAGCTCAGACTGTAATAATCAGATTTATAATCAGTTTAGGTGCCAGGTACGATTTGTTGGAATATTTTACAGGGGCTTTAGCTTTGTCCCCGGTGGTAAATTCTAACTTATAGTTTAGTATTTTTAAATACTAAATTACACTAATGTAAAACGCAAATACGCTAATAATTCTGCCTCGGTATGAACCAAGCCAAATATTTATTGTTTTGGTTAAAGAAAGATTAATGAACATTTTGACACAGTTTCAGAAGGAGAAGACGAGCCATTATTTTCTAAGTACGATAAGGACGTCTTCAACCAACGAGTTCTACCGATAATATCTTACTCTAGCGGCAGTGAGGTTAGATTATGCACATATATTATTATTACTAGCAGGAACCCGTCTAATCCTAAAGTGGTGTCAAGACTCAAGAGTCTAAAATAATTATTACATGTGTCGACACTGTTATGTGGTATGGTCCAAAGAAGTAATTCTTACAGTTAGTTTTTTGTTAGTTGTTTCAATTGTCGAGATCACAGCTACAGCTAAGAAAAAATAAAATATAATTTTGGTAGTTATAAATAATTAATTAGTTATAATTAATTAATAATTATACTGTAACGCGACTTTTATCACCTCACTCTTTAGAACTGATACAGTTGATCCCTGTCCTGAGTGTCCACATTGCTCAAGCACATTATTTCACTTCACACTTCACACTGAACTATAACCTTAACAATTTAACAACTACAACTTTTCCTGTATATGACAATGCTGGCAAAATTCCCACAATCTTCAGCTTTTTTTGTCACTTGCATCATAATGTTCACCACATGCATAATCATCTTAAAGACTTCCTCCTCCTTTTTGTAATTGCTTAATTGGTCTTCAGCACGCTCGACATGTCCTTCTTCCGCAATCTTCTCACTAGCCCTTTGTCAGGAACAAATATCTACTCTACCTTATCAATAAGGCCACATGAAGTATCAATATCTTTACCCCTTTATACTTCTATACTATTCTTATGTTATAGTTACAATAAGATTACAAAAATATTGTTAACTATTCGAGTATGATAATCGTAATTTAATAATAGATAATAATACTTCTAGACTGTTTTGCTCAAACCGATTTTGCTACGAATGTACAAGCTTGTGATTTTGCTACTCTTTATACTAACTTAGAGCACAGCTCGATATCAAAACTACGCTTTCTATAGAGATTAAGTTAGCTTAAGTATATTAAGTGTAAATACATTTCTATTTATGTCAAATCATTCGTCTGGGTGAATCATTGGTTTTTATTTTGAGGATGGTTTGATCGAGGCTGGGATTTTCTGATAATATTTGCTATTTTAGATTTGGAAATCTCATATTTCGTCAGTTTATCAGCGTACCTATTGCTCTATTGCTCTATTGGGGACCCTACATAGCCTACCCTACTTTGTGGTATTTTGAGAACGGCTATCACGAAAAGCTTTATAAAAGAGACTATTTTCTTATTTTGGTGCAAGAATGATGGGTAAAACCGTTCGCCTGATCGATGATATTATTTTTATCACTTCATATCTGCAAGATTGGGAAATTTCTAAATACCAGTGCGTGTTGTTTACTTCTTATTGTACACATAATGTCTTTTAGTTATGCTGCTATTTATAATTATAACCTTGTAACTTAAACACTGTTTTTTTTGTTATATGTTTAATACTTTGATATTTATAATATCTATAGCTATGTATTGTTGATTGACATTATATAAGACATTAACTATCAATTAAATTATGTTAAGGTAAATCTATAGGAAGGGTTGAGCCAGTGACTCATGTTGTTTCTTAAGTAACATAACTACATAATAAACTTGCGTCCTACTGTGTACTAACTTAAATATGTAATTTTATTTTAAGTGCAGTGGTAGAACAGATAAACGTATGATAGCAACAGCCGCGTTGATTCTACACGTAATTACCGGATTATGTGCATATAATTACCAGATTATGTGCATATAATTACCAAATTGTGTGCATATTATGTCCAATAAGGTAGCTATTCATGCAGTTCTTCAGACCCCACCTGCGGGTTATTAATCATGATGTCATCTTTAAACTGGTAAAGTGTTTTAGTGTGTTGTGTTCATCACGAGGTTGGTTTTATTTTTGTTTCTTTTCTCGATAATTTGGCGCTGAAAGTTCATTTCGATGTATATTATTGACTTATTGCTTCAGTAAGAAAAGAGGAAATATGCTAATATAATATACTAAAATAATATCACAGCAACTTCACCTGTTTTATCTTCAATAACATAACCTACCTGTCTGAGCTATAGCGTACTTATAGCTACTTAACCCACACCATGACTTCTACTCGACACACGTACACATTTAACTACTAAGAGATAAGTGATAGATCATGACATTTTGTATACATCACTTGGCGCTGCGGTACTTGGTAGTCATGCTGTTCTGGTTAGGGTTTGCATTATCGGTCCAATAATTTTTATCGCCGATAACCGATAACAATTTTGAAATTATCGGCGATACCGATAATTATCGGCGATAAAATTTGGTCATAACAATGAGCTAAGTTTCTGTTGATTTTTATGACTGACATAATCAATTACACCTTCGTCACCTTTGTGAATGAGGATTACAGAAGTCCTGAGTTACTGTTACACGAATTCTAAACACGATTTGAAATTCCACAACGGCATCGTAAATGTATTTAGAAAGCTGTTACTCAAGGGCAACAGTCATTGTATGATGGTTCATTTGCAGTAATGGGGCCACGTTTATTCCATCAGATCTTCACCTCATTGAAGACCCACTGCTGTTCAAAGCAAAGCTATCAGCATTTCTTAAACCGTTTCCAGATAACCCACCTGTGAGCAATTACAGCTGCCCTAATAGAAATTCTTTGCTGGACTGGAGTATGAATAAGGCAGCAGCGACGCTGCAAGGGCGGTCGAACTATTCGATGACCCAGCAGAGGAATCTAAGAATCTCTCCAAAGTATCCAAAGTATCCAATCAGATAATATCAATTCAAGTGCGTGCAAATTACAATTTAGTTTACAGATGTTCAAAGAAAAACAAGTAACTTTACTTAGAAGTTTTATTGGCGAAATATAATTTTAGGAATATTAACATATCTAGAGACTTGTCCGAGAGCCTATATCTTAGTTTTGTGAGGAAAAGCCCGCTGGCGCTAAATTTTCTCTCAGCCTCCACGGAAATGGGTGGTATGGTAGATATGCAGCTGGCCAGCTCGCTTATCGAAGTAGTCTTCTTCTTGCCAGCAGTAGCCATGAAGAGAGCGATCTCTTTAGTCCACGTGTCCTTTCGTGATGGGGACGAGTCGATGACTTAGTTAACAGTGAAGATAACTCGTTTGCTAGCGGAATCCGTTGAGAAGCTGATAAAGTACTAAATTTGACTGATGATTTTACGGAATTTCGAACTTTTTGGAAATAATTTTTGTAGAAACGATTTTGATATTATCGGTTTATCGATTACAAATTATCGCCGATAACCGATAGTGCATTTTTTACAAACTATCGCCGATAATATCGGTTGCAAACCCAGAACCCTAGTTCCGGTCTTGTATCAGTTATAGTACATACCAGTATAAGTAGTATGTTACAGTGCAGACCGTCAGTCAGTGTTGAGCAGTATAATAGTACCAGTAATACCAGTAGTACCATTGTATAGTACAATTAGTAGTAAGTATAGTTTATGTGTACAGGCCAGTAGTAGCCATGTTACGATCTTACGATGTTATCCAATAACACACCAACAACTACAACTCCCTACAACAATTATTAAATTATCAACAGAGCATTTATACATGCTCCTGTTCTGTAGAAAGCAAAGTTTAAAACGCAGACAGAGCTGGAACCTCTTATACCTTTATACATAATACTCTAATAATATATACTATGATAATGTATAGTCTAATACTATAATAGCTGTAGTGATTACGGAATATAGCGCTCTCCATTAGCTATCTCTCTCCAGCTATTAGCCACTTCCACCATTATTCTCCTCACACTCCTCACTTACTCCTTACTTACTCCTCACACTCCTCCTACTCACTACATTAAAACATTAATAATACTACTCTACTCGGCTCACTGCTAGTGAGCAATTACACATATGTAGTCTGATGACTCCTCCTTCTTCTTCCATTAAATGGTATTAACTCATAGGGAATGATTATCATTTCTCTCTGAAGTTATACTCGGGGATTGTTGTTTGGTACTGATATTTCTTGGTATTTATTGGTCAGAGCTATAATTGTACGATGTACGCCACATCTTCAGATCTTTCCATATACTCTTGTCTCGCATCAGAGTTCACAGTTCTTTTTAGAAATTCTCCAACTTTCTTCAATAACACACACATCTCTGTCTCAGTCAATTTGTTTATAACCGTGTGTTACGAAATTCCCACTGTCTCCGAAATTTACCCCGAACCAATCCTTAGTAGCAGCAGCCGACGTCATCAGTAAACAGATAGTACGTAGGGAGGGAGTCTGTGCTGCTTAACTGCTTACAGTCGCTGTTTACTAATAACTTTTACTCCTTCATAATAACTTTTGTGTTGTGCGGGAGGGTTGGTCACAGCTGCTGTGTAAAAGCTCTTAAGTAGCTGGTGCCGCGCAGTACGCCGTTTAGATTTACGTTTTTTGAAAAAGTTCTCCGTTGTATTTTATATGGTTTGTTTTTGCTTTAGTCGCTTACTTTTAAAGTTTTAAGGTATTCAGTGGCTCGATAGAGTAATTGCTTACGTTAAATTTTGGTACATTAATGTATAGTGTCCATACGAGATGTTAAAATTATTATTTTTCTTTAGTGGACACAATTTCAAAGTATCACAACTCTTGCAGTTGGATCGCCTGGTGTATTTAGGGAGAGCGATTATGAATACGCGATTATGAATGCCCAAGATGAGCTATGAAACTATCGGAAACTGATGACGCAACAAAAAATGATACGATAGTTAACGATGAACGATTAAAATCATTCTTCGAGTCGAATGATGAAAGGTTCAGAAAACTGATCAACGAGCACCGGCAGTTTCAGTTGAATCAGAGAAAAGCACTTTTTAACCGGGCGCTAAGACAAACTTTATCTCAAAGTATGGTAAACCCTATACACCCCGGACTTCAGGCAATCAGGACTTACGAATCAGCGGATAGAACAGATAGCGATAACAGAGGGTCTCCTTCCTCTGACACCCAAGTAAGGAATGTTAGTAGGAACCTGCCCACACCTAGATACTATGTTCCGAAACGTCTTCCAAAGCGACCAACTACTCCCAGACATGCCTCATTTGATGAAAACAATGCTGTTATTCTTAACTCACCACGGAGCCCTTTCTTTAACAATTCGTTTGGGATAAAAGCTTTGGAACGTCGGATTGAGGAAGATATGAGGATACAGAGTGAGCGCAGAAAACAGCCAGGTGGAATACAAAGGAGCATTTCTCTCGATGCTCCAAGTTCAACTCAAAATGATTCCTTGACTGTAACAAACCTGAATACCTCGTCTAGTTTTACTCACGGTACAAAGTCTCGACCTAATTTCCTCTCACCCCCACAAAACCGAGCCAGCAATCAAGCCCTTACTATCAGCGAGGCTGTACTGTTAGCGAATAAAAAGATCAAAGATGCTGTTGATGATAGAGATCTCGTCCGGACAGACCCAAAAGATCCAAGACCACCTCTGAAACGACAAAATAAAGTGGTAGCTGAACAAAAGGTCGGTGACGAAGATTTAGTCGATCAATCCACGAAAGAAACTTATTTATCTGGATCAGCTTCAGATTCATTTTTCCAAACTGAGATGTTTCAAGACAGTGAGACGAAGCAACTAAGCTGCAGACAATCGTTGGTTTCCTTTAATGATATTGTGGAATACCTCTCCATTTCAACTGAAAATGATAGTTTTGAGGAGAATTGGAGAATGGCCGGGGAGCTTCAGGCTATGTTTGGTCAGTATAGGAGTGATTCAATTGAGCAATGTGAGGATGTTAACCACGAAAACAAAATGATGGAAAACGAAGAAAACGCAAACTCTGGTGCTAAAGAGAACGATGAAGTCCAAGTGAATACGGAAAAAGTTCAGGTATAATCAATAATCTGTTGCAATTTTTTACGCCATGAACATCTTTACTTATATATACACGCATTTCAATCCACCGGCCAGCAATGAACCCTGTGGCAATGTTACTCGTTGGTTGAGAATCGATTAAAGTGTGCCACAATTGACAATTTATTTTGAATGTACATTGCAAAAGTATATTATCTAATAAGCACTTATATAATTATCGGTATTATATATATAAGACGCCTATTATATATATAAGACGCCTATGAAGAGCTGCAGTATAATTCCACCATCGGTCACGGCGGGGGGGGGGGGAGATAGTGGTTCAATCACTGGAATTTATTTAGCTGTATAATGTACAAATACTTTTAGACCCTACAATTGGTAACAGAAAAAGTTTCCTTGTTTCTAAAAACTCAAAATCTATATAAAATCATTTCAGAACGAATTATGGGGAAGTTGTGCAAGGAGACAAAGGTTAAAAGACACTTCCTGGAGACGCCTTTGTAGTGACTCTCAGGATCTAGACATCATTAAAACATCCAGCAAAGATGGTTAGTGGATAATAATTGGTTACTAAATGGTTATTAAGTGTTTTCTAAGTGGTTACTAAGTGGTTACTAAGTGGTTACTAAGTGGTTACTAAGTGGTTACTAAGTGGTTACTAAGTGGTTACTAAGTGGTTACTAAGTGGTTACTAAGTGGTTACTAAGTGGTTACTAAGTGGTTACTAAGTGGTTACTAAGTGGTTTACCAGGCCAGAATATATTTTTAGGGCTAGTGCAGGGTGCTTATTTTCATTCATGCTTTTTTTCCCAGATTAAGAAACCATCCTAGTTTTACAATAATTATTTAACACAACCTAAACTCCAACTAATTCTAATTAACTAATTAACTAACTAACTCCCTGACTCTAATTAATTCTACCTAAACTGTACCTTAAGTCAAACTTAACTCGAACAGAACTCTAACTCATTATATTCTAAGTACGTAATATAATTTAGAATTTATTATTACAGTAATAATGTAATAAGCATTTGCATTTTGCACGCGGTATCATCCAATCATTGCAGCCACTACCAAGGACAGTAACTTAAACAGTGACATCATCAACGAGGAGGCTGAACCAAAAGGAGATACTAATCACAAAGATAGAGTTCAGGTACTAGTATTTTTCGGGTCAAGTTGTTAAGTGGTTACTAAGTGGTAACTAAGTGGTTACTAAGTGGTTACTAAGAGGTCAAGTTTTCCTGTGGCAGATTTATTGTTGCAATCAACGTGATGATGACTTTATAAAATACAAACTGCAGGTTGCTTTATTAAAGTTACACTGGTGTGTTTGATGACAATAGCATGATAATATGTGCCTATTATCTAACATCGTATTCAATTAGTTCTGCCTTCTTAGTAAACAATTAGTGGTATATAAGTATCATGGTATTTACATTCCGCTCAACTATGGATATATCGAAAATATGAATTTCCCTTGTCTAGACTTCTCCTATCTCTAAGTCTGAGCAGACATCTCCTAACTATATATCTCATTTTTAATAAATAAGAATTCAGTAATAGTTAAAGTTAAAGAAATTTGGTTATAGTTGACAATTAAAGAATGTGATTTTCTTACCTTAAAAAAAATAATTTAGTCTGATGAAAGAAAAAATGCACAAATATTTGCATTATCTTATTGAATTATTAGAGAAAGAAAACGTTTGAAACTTCTTAAACTGTAAATGATTTTCATAGTTAATAATTCGTTGTCAGGTTCAAAGAACGCGACCGGGGGAAGTAAAACGGCCCAAAAAATCGTTAATCTTAGACAAGATTCCCACGCAACATAGCATAGGTAAAGTAAAATTTAGTTCAAGAAACCAATTTTTATAATTCACAACGAGACGCTAATTTTGATTCACCATACTGAAAATATATCTATATCCAATATTGTTTTATATCGATAACTTAATCGTTACAATTATTACAATACCATTTTTTCTGTTTATACACTTCCTTCTTAAATTCAGAAGAGAACGGTTCAACTGATTTGTCTCAGAATTTGTCCCCTAAAAACTTAACTTCAGCTTCATCTCCCATGAGCAGTAAATCAGGTGCAGTTAATCTACTTTACTCACGCGTGACTTTTACTTGACTCACGCGTGACTTTTACTTGACTCACGCGTGACTTTTACTTAAAAGTGAATTGATTGTTTATCTAAGATGTAGATTCTATGATAATTTCATGGAACTATTTCAGCTGCATGCTAAGCAATAAATTTAAATTTAATCAACTTTTTTTTCTTGTTTGAATACTTTACGGATATCACCTAGAATACAATTATGAAATTAATTATGATATTAACCCAGGGTCCACAGCACCAAGCTGTCTATCCTCCCCACTCCCGCACTCCACAACCAGTTGTGTCTCCACTCCGTCCGCAAGTTGTGTCTCCACCCCTACTTCCATCTCAACCACATCTTCTTCTAACTCAACTGGGACCTGTGGTTCAGACTGCTTGTGTCACTCTAATTCTACTAAGTAGGAATTACTTGCTTAGCTTTTACTCTAATTCTACTAAGTAGGAATAACTTGCTTAGCTTTTACTCTAATTCTACTAAGTAGGAATTACTTGCTTAGCTTTTACTCTAATTCTACTAAGTAGGAATTACTTGCTTAGCTTTTACTCTAATTCTACTAAGTAGGAATTACTTGCTTAGCTTTTACTCTAATTCTACTAAGTAGGAATTACTTGCTTAGCTTTTACTCTAATTCTACTAAGTAGGAATTACTTGCTTAGGTTTTACTCTAGTTCTACTAAGTAGGAATTACTTGCTTAGCTTTTACTCTAATTCTACTAAGTAGGAATTACTTGCTTAGCTTTTACTCTAATTCTACTAAGTAGGAATTACTTGCTTAGCTTTTACTCTAATTCTACTAAGTAGGAATTACTTGCTTAGCTTTTACTCTAATTCTACTAAGTAGGAATTACTTGCTTAGCTTTTACTCTAATTCTACTAAGTAGGAATTACTTGCTTAGCTTTTACTCTAATTCTACTAAGTAGGAATTACTTGCTTAGCTTTTACTCTAATTCTACTAAGTAGGAATTACTTGCTTAGCTTTTACTCTAATTCTACTAAGTAGGAATTACTTGCTTAGCTTTTACTCTAATTCTACTAAGTAGGAATTACTTGCTTAGCTTTTACTCTAATTCTACTAAGTAGGAATTACTTGCTTAGCTTTTACTCTAATTCTACTAAGTAGGAATTACTTGCTTAGCTTTTACTCTAATTCTACTAAGTAGGAATTACTTGCTTAGCTTTTACTCTAATTCTACTAAGTAGGAATTACTTGCTTAGCTTTTACTCTAATTCTACTAAGTAGGAATTACTTGCTTAGCTTTTACTCTAATTCTACTAAGTAGGAATTACTTGCTTAGCTTTTACTCTAATTCTACTAAGTAGGAATTACTTGCTTAGCTTTTACTCTAATTCTACTAAGTAGGAATTACTTGCTTAGCTTTTACTCTAATTCTACTAAGTAGGAATTACTTGCTTAGCTTTTACTCTAATTCTACTAAGTAGGAATTACTTGCTTAGCTTTTACTCTAATTCTACTAAGTAGGAATTACTTGCTTAGCTTTTACTCTAATTCTACTAAGTAGGAATTACTTGCTTAGCTTTTACTCTAATTCTACTAAGTAGGAATTACTTGCTTAGCTTTTACTCTAATTCTACTAAGTAGGAATTACTTGCTTAGCTTTTACTCTAATTCTACTAAGTAGGAATTACTTGCTTAGCTTTTACTCTAATTCTACTAAGTAGGAATTACTTGCTTAGCTTTTACTCTAATTCTACTAAGTAGGAATTACTTGCTTAGCTTTTACTCTAATTCTACTAAGTAGGAATTACTTGCTTAGCTTTTACTCTAATTCTACTAAGTAGGAATTACTTGCTTAGCTTTTACTCTAATTCTACTAAGTAGGAATTACTTGCTTAGCTTTTACTCTAATTCTACTAAGTAGGAATTACTTGCTTAGCTTTTACTCTAATTCTACTAAGTAGGAATTACTTGCTTAGCTTTTACTCTAATTCTACTAAGTAGGAATTACTTGCTTAGCTTTTACTCTAATTCTACTAAGTAGGAATTACTTGCTTAGCTTTTACTCTAATTCTACTAAGTAGGAATTACTTGCTTAGCTTTTACTCTAATTCTACTAAGTAGGAATTACTTGCTTAGCTTTTACTCTAATTCTACTAAGTAGGAATAACTTGCTTAGCTTTTACTCTAATTCTACTAAGTAGGAATTACTTGCTTAGCTTTTACTCTAATTCTACTAAGTAGGAATTACTTGCTTAGCTTTTACTCTAATTCTACTAAGTAGGAATTACTTGCTTAGCTTTTACTCTAATTCTACTAAGTAGGAATTACTTGCTTAGCTTTTACTCTAATTCTACTAAGTAGGAATTAATTGCTTAGCTTTTATGATACTGGGGCTTTTTTTGATATTTTGTAATCTCTCATTTAGTTTTTAATAATTAGAAATGCAAACCACTTTTAAGTTCTCTTCCTTCAGAAAAGAAAGAGAGTTTTTCAACTTTGACCGACAAAAGACAATGACTTTAGGGACTCACGAAGTTAGGGTCATGTCTCCCACTACATCAGAAGATCAACACACCTACAGTACTGATCAGAAATCGTACGTTTCGTGCAAAAATATGAAAAATATTTGCTACTGAATCAATTTGTAATTATTTTGATATGACTATTAAATCATATCATTAACATAAAATTAAATCTGTTAACAAGTGACATTAAGTGGTAACTTTATAACAATCACAGTATTTAAAATTGCCCTAACCTCAGGAGCACTTCAAGTTGTGGACAAACATCAGCACACCGGGTTGAAGACAGACCCGCCCAGTTAGAAACTAAGAGCCGTACCAAAAGCAGGAAAATTAAGAGAGTGCCATTTAACTTAGCTCGCATCAGCACCGACTCTGTTGATGAGGTGTTTACTCCACGTAATTTTGGTGAGTGAGGATCACGTTACCAAGATATGATATCTGGGAGGTACTGAATAGTAAAATACCTGGGAGATACTAATAACTGAATAGTGAATATCCATATTCTATATTCGAGCAGTCTGAAATTGCGAGTACTTTCTGGTGTAGATATAAAGTTACAAAAGCTTTATAATTTTTTTTTTTCAATTATGACAGAAATGATCAAACTTGGTGTCTTTGTGACAGATTTTCCGGCAATCCTAGAAAGTGGATAAGTGTTGTGTTTATGTGTGATTACAAATATAAAACTGTTACTGTGTGCGAGTGTGTGTATTTGCATGTGTGTGCATGTTTTGTGTGATTTTTGTGTGATTTTAGTATGATTTTCATACTTGACTGAGAATAAATGAGTGGTATAATTTGAATAGATTCAAATCGTCTTCAATTGGTTTATAATTAGGTAAATTTGGTCCTAATTTAGTCTGCAAGTGAAACAACAAAAAAATCAACATTGTCTTAAAGAAGCTTAAAGAAGTTGCAAAAAGCATATCACGAAATGTAAATTACGACCTATACTAAAACTCACCCACATGTCGTCGAGTCTCGACATTTACAAACCTCCGAATCATTAGCATTGTCGAATTCTTATCTTCCCTTTTTTCATAAGATGTTATTGATTCCCCCATCATAGGAAAAGATAAAGAACAGTCGTCCACAGAAAATGGAGAACCACATTCACTTGGAAAGAAGTTTCAGCAAACCCGCAAATCTTGCAAACAGCGCCGCGCTTCCGTGAAACTGGGTGCATTTTTAAATTTTGAATGATTTATTTGAATAATTTATTTTTTAATCAATAAACTTTCAAATTGTTACACAAATACATCATTTTATTTCAAAGAAAATTCGCCGAATGACCTTACATGCCTTGACAAGTGACCGAGTGTAAACAAAATTAGGGACACCGAAACATCTAAATGTAATAAATATGATAACTTTATGAATGATTAAATAAATCCCGATGTATATTTTTGATAAGATAAGAATCATATCCATATCACAAATTCAAGCAAACTTTCCAAAATGAATTCATTTGGACAAATGATTTTGATGGGGTATAAATAAAAGCCGTTTACTTGACTATTTTGTCACTCACTAACTGTTGTGATTAGAATTTAGAATAATGTACTGTAACTTGTACTGTAATTTTGACTTTCCCACCCTTGACACCTGTCCACCACATCAGCTGATGACGATTAACACATGTTTATTGAAAGCTTCTAACAGTTAAACTATCATATCACTTATATGTTTTTAACCCAACTCCATTCAGAATAATGAAGGTCACGTGATATGATATTGTTTAATGTTTACTCAGGTAATCACCGAGTCACGATAGAATCGCCAACTTCCTCCGAGGGCGACAATACCTCCGAGGGTGAAAATACCAGGTTTTTATTAAAAACCTTTGTAATTATGTTATCGTTATGTAACGGACTTGTAATTTTTTCTTATCTGAAAATTCAACTGGCTGCTTCATTTCATATTACTATATTAGTTTCTTCGTATGGAACATATTACATTTGAAGTAAGGCACGGATCTGACACATCTACTTAGGGCAGCTTCAATGTCCGAGCAGATATGATTGTTCTACACATCTGTCTATTCAGCATGAGCTTGTTCATCTGACACATGTGCTCCATTATAAAGATCTTCCTGATTTCCAATTATTGTCCTTTACACATTTGCTCACATCACTCACAGTCAGCCGCTCTGACATGGTTAACCACCTTCCTTGTGTTGTTGGTTAATCATATGAGCGGGATATAAATACCTTATTTCATTTTCATTTTCAATCCAGTCGACAGGGTACAGACGAAGACCATGCTTCAGCTAAATCAAGTCTCAGCGAATCTGATGGAGCTAAACATAAAATATCTGTCGCCAGTTCCTGCGAGTGGTGAGGAATTTAGTTTTGTAGAGTAGAGTCTCTTCTAGAAATTGAAAAGTTTCATGCAATATTGGTCAACTACTTTATCAAAATCGAGCTTCACAGAAAAATTAAGGAATTAAGGAATTAGGTTCATTGAATATCATAAATGAAAGTATTTGCACGTATCAAATAACGGAGTAGTTCGCTGTTTATTAGTCTCATGATTGAAATACTGATATCTGGATATTATCCGGTTGGAAGAGACAAGGACAAGTGAAACAAGGAAGTTAGGAGTAAGGGCAAATTTTCGGCGTCAACGCCATCTTCAGGCTAAAATTGTTATAAATGTTAGTATGTAATAAATGCTTCTATACTAGTTAAAATGCTAAATTGAAATTACACACACTGAATACAGGTTACATCAAATTTGCACGCAGGTTGACGGACAATGAGGGCTACTATGAAGACTCGTTAAACATAGACAAACTAGAAGACAAATACAAGCTGGAGAGGATCAGCCAGCAGAAACAGCTCAGAATGTCACAGAGCTTTAATGATGGAGGTCCTAGACTTTCCAAATCAAATTCTCTCAAAAAGTTTAATTCTGAGGGAGATATTTGTGTGAGTGATGTGTTACTTTTCATTCATATAACTACTTATAACTACTAATAACTACTAATAACTACTAAGTAATCAAGGGCATATTATGTTCATTGTAGATTTTGTAGCGAAATGAAACAAGGCCTACAATCTGCATTATCTGATGTCATTCAATCTTTTAGGTTTTTTACTTAATTATAAAGTCTATAGATGACAAGTTTCTTTTGGTTTTCTAGTAAATATCAGATTGTAACATGATAGAATAAATTTAAAAAGAAAATATCTTCAAAATTGTATACTTTATAGACTTGCAGAAGTACATTAAAATACATACACTCCGCAAGCAATCCTTGTACAATCATGTGTTCAGGACATAAGCTCGTGCGATAGGAAAAAGTCTAAAATGACGATTGTGGAATTGTACGAAACTGAAAAGAACTACACCTCCAACCTGTTGACCATACTCGAGGTTTGTTGTACACTAAAATTACTTAGTTAATTATTTAATTCAGAATTAATTAGATAATTAATTGATTCGTACACAAACACAATGACCTTTGTCAGGTGTTTGCTGAACCTATAAAAGAGATGGGACTTCTAGCTAAAAAGACACACTCGATTCTGTTTCCCAATCAGTTGATAAGGCTAGTTTATCAGCATTCTGTGTTTCTTGGGAGGCTCGAAGAACGGCTCAATAATTGGCATCATGTTCAGAAAATCGGGGATCTGTTTTCTGGTATGTTATTTTGCTATGTAAAGATGCTGTCCCTATTAAGCTATTACACATTGATATGGTGTAACCGAATTGATTTATACTTTTGCTTCGATGCATATCGAAAGGTCTTTTTAGATTCATTGATTGATAATTTATAAATTTAATATGAGAATGTTTTCATATATTTGATATTTCAACTAACGAACCTTTAACTTTAACCACTGATAGCTGTTGTAACACGAGGATAACTTCAATAACTTACGAATGTTTATATAAAAAGAAAATCCAAGACACTAATAATTTCAACAGGGTTCAACTATCATAGTAAGTATGTTTAAATAAAAGGAAAATGTAAAACACTTATAACTTAATACTTATAACAGGGTTTAAAGAGGAAACAAAAGGAGGTCTCTTCAAAGTTTACCTCAGCTATATTACCCACTTCCCCCTACTGTTCGAGAAGTTATCTAAGATGTCCACTACAAACGAACGGTTCAGACACTACATACAGAAGTGTAGGCAGGAAGTGGCAGCCTGCCAGAGACTTTCTCTACTTTCTCTGCTCTACAATCCTATACAGGTACAAGAGAACCTAGCGTTCATTTTTATGTCCGTTCAGATAAAGTCCGACAAGGTAGTTAAATTAGTCATTAGATACGTGTCTTTGAGCGTTCATTTTATTGTTCGTTAAAAATTTTGTCCGTTCACGCAATGTCCGGTCAAATAACGTCCGATAAGGTATGCAAACTCTATTCATTTCTCTGTTGATATTGTTAAATTATATTCAGTTTAATACCCCGCTATACTCAGTTATTAATTAACACTTTCAGAGACTTCCTCAGTATCTAATGCTTCTGAAGACCTACTCAAAACACTTAGACCCCCAACATGCGGATTGTGATCCTGTCCATAGTGCTACCACATCTCTTCAGACCTTATTATTCATGGCTAACAAGTAAGGGAGCTAAAGGATGACTTTTATTTTCGCCCATTGACGAATGAATTGTTTTAAAATTATATTGCTAGCTTTAATTAAATCACAAATGCACATATTTGCTCGACCAATAAATGTAAGTAATTTATCAAGTAATTAATTATCAAAACTGTAACTCCACCCCTTATCCAGGTTGTGTAACTTCCGAAAAGAAGGTCCCGGAGCAATTAAACTACCCCCCACAACCAGCGCCCCTCACCAGAGCTCAGATCGGAGGTCATCAGACTCTGCCACTCCGGACAACAACGCCACACCGGACAGCAACCACCCAGCTGTGGAGAGGAAACCCACCCACCACAGAAAACTGTCAACACTGCTCAATGTTCTTACTTTTAGCAGCGTTATAAAGAAGAGGAAGAAGGACAGGGATAAGAATGCGAACAGTTCTAGTTGTGTTTCCTGTAGTACTGACTGAGAGCGTCCTAGTTCTAGTTGTGTTTCCTGTAGTTACGCTGACTTAGAACGTCGTAGTTTTTAAAATCGATTTCAGATGAAATTTTGTGGTGTTTCACAAAATTATCAATAAAATGGTTGGATTGTTTATGTTATAGTAATATTGGTTGATTTAAGGTCTAGGGTAAAATATTTTCTACCGATGGCTCGACGAGAGAAAATACTGTTTTAAGGAAAATCTAAAATGTCTAACTCATTTATCATTTCAAGACAGCTATCTTTTTAACCATGACAACGGCTACATGTTACCATAACAACGGTTACACGTTTTCATGCAGTGTCTCCAGTCCTCGTTATCAGGATTACAAACGAACTTGTTCTGTGGATACTCCGTGCACTCAACCCCCCAATCGTCAGCACACTGAAAATATTAAATCAGTCTCTTCCTCTTAGATTATAACTTGTGGATTCTGGTAGGGATCGAGTGAAGAGTGACAGTGATTCTGGGGTTTGATTGGTCAATAGTGCTATAGTGGATACTGATTGGTTAGTTGCTGTCACGTGTCAAATATCCCCAAGAATCTACAAGTCTGACATCATCAAAGTTTTAGGATGATTTTACTTTTTTTAACAATATCATTAATAAATGAATTTATTCGGGGTAAATACACTAATTGGAATGGAGCTAGTTTACTAAGATACTAGTTTGGCTAGATTTGACTAGTATAACCCTGGTGGCAGAATACTTTATTATTCTAAAGTTCTATAGAAATGAATCTGTGTCTCATTTGTTGTAATCAAAAGCATAAATAGATAAACGTGGGTTGATTTATAATAAATTTCCTAATGATTTTTAAATAATTTTTTAATGATTATTGTTTCCCGTTATGACCTAATTCCCAACCTTAACAATTGCAGTAGTGGTTGGTTCAGGAGTGGTTGGTTCTGGAGTGGTTGGTTCTGGAGTGGTTGGTTCAGGAGTGGTTGGTTCAGGAGTGGTTGGTTCGGGAGTGGTTGGCTCTGGAGTGGTTGGTTCAGGAGTAGTTGGTTCTGGAGTGGTTGGTTCAGGAGTGGTTGGTTCTGGAGTGGTTGGTTCTGGAGTGGTTGGTTCTGGAGTGGTTGGTTCAGGAGTGGTTGGTTCAGGAGTAGTTGGTTCAGGTGTAGTTGGTTCTGGAGTGGTTGGTTCGGGGGTGGTTGGTTCAGGAGTGGTTGGTTCTGGAGTGGTTGGTTCTGGAGTGGTTGGTTCTGGAGTGGTTGGTTCAGGAGTGGTTGGTTCTGGAGTGGTTGGTTCTGGAGTGGTTGGTTCTGGAGTGGTTGGTTCTGGAGTGATCGGTTCAGGAGTGGTTGGTTCGGGAGTGGTTGGCTCTGGAGTGGTTGGTTCAGGAGTAGTTGGTTCTGGAGTGGTTGGTTCAGGAGTGGTTGGTTCTGGAGTGGTTGGTTCTGGAGTGGTTGGTTCTGGAGTGGTTGGTTCAGGAGTGGTTGGTTCAGGAGTAGTTGGTTCAGGAGTAGTTGGTTCTGGAGTGGTTGGTTCGGGGGTGGTTGGCTCTGGAGTGGTTGGTTCAGGAGTGGTTGGTTCTGGAGTGGTTGGTTCTGGAGTGGTTGGTTCGGGGCTGGTTGGTTCAGGGGTGGTTGGTTCTGGAGTGATCGGTTCAGGAGTGGTTGGTTCGGGAGTGGTTGGCTCTGGAGTGGTTGGTTCTGGAGTGGTTAGTTCAGGAGTGGTTGGTTCAGGAGTGGTTGGTTCGGGGGTGGTTGGTTCAGGAGTGGTTGGTTCGGGGGTGGTTGGTTCAGGAGTGGTTGGTTCAGGAGTGGTTGGTTCTGGAGTGGTTGGTTCAGGAGTGGTTGGTTCGGGGGTGGTTGGTTCAGGAGTGGTTGGTTCAGGAGTGGTTGGTTCTGGAGTGGTTGGTTCAGGAGTTGTTGGTTCAGGAGTAGTTGGTTCTGGAGTGGTTGGTTCGGGGGTGGTTGGTTCTGGAGTCGTTGGCTCTGGAGTTGTTGGCTCTGGAGTGGTTGGTTGAGGAGTCGTTGGCTCTGGAGTGGTTGGTTCAGGAGTAGTTGGTTCAGGAGTGGTTGGTTCAGGAGTGGTTGGTTCAGGAGTAGTTGGTTCGGGGGTGGTTGGTTCTGGAGTGGTTGGTTCAGGAGTAGTTGGTTCAGGAGTGGTTGGTTCAGGGGTGGTTGGTTCTGGAGTAGTTGGTTCAGGAGTGGTTGGTTCAGGGGTGGTTGGTTCTGGAGTAGTTGGTTCAGGAGTGGTTGGTTCGGGGGTGGTTGGTTCGGGGGTGGTTGGTTCGGGGGTGGTTGGTTCTGGAGTCGTTGGCTCTGGAGTCGTTGGCTCTGGAGTCGTTGGTTCAGGAGTAGTTGGTTCAGGAGTGGTTGGTTCAGGGGTGGTTGGTTCTGGAGTAGTTGGTTCAGGAGTGGTTGGTTCAGGGGTGGTTGGTTCTGGAGTGCTTGGTTCCGAAGTGGTCGGTTCGGGAGTGGTGGGAGACGGAGTTGTTGGTATTGGAGTCTGAAATTAGTTATTCGTTAAATATTTCAAAAATATTTAGTTACTTATGAATAATTTATTGTTCGAAGTTACACATAATCTTAGAGTGTTATTGATAATGCTTACTGGTCCATCGTAGCATTCCGGTACGTTTCGAGGGAAATCACAGTACTGTGTTCTTTCGTTCAAATACGTTCCACTCTGAGGAAGCAACATTTTATTCTATTTTTGGAATAATTTGTCGAGACTCTAATGAAGATTAAATTAATTATATCCAAACTTGCAGAGCTATGATATAAGAGCACCATATTTGCGACAAGAGAAACGCCATTTTCGGACGTGAGGAGAGTTAGGACTCCTCAAACTACTAAAACTTACAGGGCACCTTCTATACCACTGTCTGCGTCCATGGCATTCCCAGTAGTACCTACAGTCTTCTAGATTCACAAATCTACCATTGCGCGGACATTTGAACTGAAGAGCAGAATGTTAAGATTCTAAGTGAACATCAGTCACATTTAATACCAGCTTTTAATTGAAGCTAAGAAATTAACCGAAGTTAACCAAATTCCGTTCCACTTAAAACTGTTTGTGATAGATTCGACGTAAGATTTTCTGAAGGTACGAAAATATTCAAATCCTCACTTACTTTTTCTTCTTTGTCGCTATCCGAATCCGAATCGCTACTAGAGTCGCTACTAGAGTCGCTACTGGAGTCGCTACTATAGTCGCTGCTGCTGGAATCGCTGCTGCTGCTGGAATCGCTGCTGCTGCTGGAATCGCTGCTGCTGCTGGAATCGCTGCTGCTGCTGCTGGAATCGCTGCTGCTGCTGGAATCGCTGCTGCTGGAACTATCGCTCCACCATTTCAACGTTTTTTGGTTCTTAAATTCGTCATATTCCAAAATTGGTCCTTGTTTAGTATTCCAGCCGTCTCCATAACTAAAACCATCCTCTAGCTCTTCGTCGTGCTCAATGAAGTCAAGCTCAAACCCGTATCCCAGGGCAAAGATATAACACGTCAACAATAATATCCTCTGTAATAAATTGCATTTAATATAATTTAAGGTTTACATACGCACGCGGTACGAACAAATATAATGATAATACATATACTAAAGTTCTAAATAACAGATAGTGTAAACACAACGCTGCTATTTTGTACAACTACATAATCTTTCTTTAAAGAACAAAATTATAAAACTTGCATTCTGATTCTGCACCAATTTGCTTTGTCAAAAGCAATATTCCTAGATCCAAGGCTATTAATAAATTATGTTCATAAACATAATAGAGATTCGGCGGACTAGAGATTCGGCGGAATGACAGGCTGAGCGCCGCCCAGTAAACATCATTACGAAATAAATTCCGGCAACTTAATGATAATAAGTATATTCTATAATATAAATTGGCTTAAATAAAATCAAACGTTTAAGTACACTTTTAGCGTAGAAAATTATGTTTTCATGAGAGTAATTATGTTTTCATGAGAGTAACCGATGACTTACCATTACGGAAAAGATTCAAGATCGTCACCAGAACACAAAGTCGTTTTAAATGAAAGTAAGAAATCTTATAAGTGAAAAGTCCTTTAATAAAAGTTATCATGTGCAGTCAAACGGTGCACCAAGCTTGACACGACCATTGTTATAAAAAGTGCTAATAAGATTATGTACCTTAGAAAAAGACTGAAAGTCCGTCACGGCACATTGATCAAATTTATAATCCAGTCTTCTCGCCTCGTAGGAGCTCGAAAAATCCTCAATTACTTTGACTAACGTAATAAAGTAGCTTTGTTGATTGAGCAGCAGCTCGGTGGTGACGCCAGCTGTTGCAACTTGATCATGACGTTCAGACACTGTTTTCAATGAAAGAACCGCCGGGATTGTTGTTGTTGGTGTGTAATAGTAAATAAGAGCGTAGAACTAGAGAGAACGTTAGGGTGCACAACGTAAGGTTACTTAGCTTGCTAGTAGTCTATTGCTCGCTTTTATTAGAAAGTAGAAACGCTTGAAAAGAGCACCGCTTACAGGGACTGGCAAGGTGCCAGGTAAACGTAATATATGGGTACTGCCGGTACACGTTTAACAATTCTCACCAATGATTGTTTTGAAACGGAAAAGCAGGGCCAGTCGACGAACCATGATGCATGTGGAATAGGGCCCTAGATTTCTACCAGTCATATTGCGGAGAACTAAGATATGGAACAGTAGAACTATAAAAACACCTACTAAAACTAGGTGTTTTTGGTAGGTGTTTTTAACATGCCAAGATCCGCATCTACAAGGCTGCTGTTATCACTACGTTATCACTACGTTATCACTACGTTATCACTACGTTATCACGACTATGAGGAGACCTCCTAATGTAGCATGTGTAATGTGTATGTATGTAATATTAACACATCAGAGTGCGATACAGTGATATTGAGGTATTACTATTGGTTAATTTTTTAATTTGTTGTTGTTGACAATGAGGAAAATACCGTTTTAAAAGAATTTCAAATATGAACGCATTTCATTCCAGGACAGCTTTCTTGTCAGACATCACAACGGTTACAAGTTTTCATGCAATATATCCAATTCGGGTTTGCAGGGTTACAAATAAACTTGTTTTGAGGATATCTTTTGCAACTTTCCCCCCACTCATCAAAACACTGAAAATAAGGATAAATCTCAAATGCCTGGGCTATTTTGAAAACTGCAAAATTAATTGGGGCTAGCTCACTAATTGAGCGAGAGTATGAATAATTTATCATTTTGAAATTTGCCATTAAAGACTTTACAAATGTAAATAAACACAGATGGTTTGATTTTCCCATTTCCTGATCGGTTGTGCATTCAATTTTAAAGTAATAACTAACCTTGAAAATTGAGTCAGTTGTCGGTTCTTGAGTTGTCGGTTCTGGAGTGGTTGGTTCAGGAGTAGTTGGTTCAGGAGTGGTTGGTTCAGGAGTATTGTCGCTATCAGAATCTGAGTCGCTACTGGAACTATCACTGCTACTGGAACTATCACGTTCCTCAAGTTCTAAGAATGGAAGTTGTCGGTCCAAGGATGGCCTATTCCAACCGTCTCCAAACCTAAAACTATCCTCTAGCTCCATTTCGTACTCAATAAAATCTAATTCTAGCCCTTCTGTGGTTGGTTCTTGAGTAGTTGGTTCTTGAGTGGTTGGTTCTGAGGTAGTTGGTTCTTGAGAAGTTGGTTCTTGAGTAGTTGGTTCTGGGGGGGTTGGTTCAGGAGTGGTTGGTTCAGGAGTGGTTGGTTCAGGAGTATTGTCGCTATCAGAATCTGAGTCACTACTGGAACTATCACTGCTACTGGAACTATCACGCTTCTCAAGTTCTAAGAATGGAAGTCGTCGGTCCAAGGATGGCCTATTCCAACCGTCTCCAAATATAAAACTATCCTCTAGCTCCATTTCGTTCTCAATGAAATCTAATTCTATCCCTTCTGTGGTTGGTTCTTGAGTAGTTGGTTCTTGAGAAGTTGGTTCTCGAGTGGTTGGTTCAGGGGTGGTTGGTTCTTGAGTAGTTGGTTTTTGAGAAGTTGGTTCTCGAGTGGTTGGTTCTGGAGTGGTTGGTTCAGGAGTGGTTGGTTCTGGAGTAGTTGGTTCTTGAGAAGTTGGTTCTTGAGTAGTTGGTTCTGGGGGGGTTGGTTCAGGAGTGGTTGGTTCTGGGGTGGTTGGTTCAGGAGTGGTTGGTTCAGGGGTGGTTGGTTCAGGAGTATTGTCGTTATCAGAATCTGAGTCACTACTAGAACTATCACTGCTACTGGAACTATCACGCTTCTCAAGTTCTAAGAATGGGAGTCGTCGGTCCAAGGATGGCCTATTCCAACCGTCTCCAAATATAAAACTATCCTCTAGCTCCATTTCGTACTCAATAAAATCTAATTCTATCCCTTCTGTGGTTGGTTCTTGAGTAGTTGGTTCTTGAGAAGTTGGTTCTCGAGTGGTTGGTTCAGGGGTGGTTGGTTCTTGAGTAGTTGGTTTTTGAGTAGTTGGTTCTTGAGTGGTTGGTTCTTGAGTGGTTGGTTCTGGAGTGGTTGGTTCAGGAGTATTGTCGCTATCAGAATCTGAGTCACTACTGGAACTATCACTGCTACTGGAACTATCACGCTTCTCAAGTTCTAAGAATGGAAGTCGTCGGTCCAAGGATGGCCTGTTCCAACCGTCTCCAAACATAAAACCATCCTCTAGCTCCATTTCGTTCTCAATAAAATCGAGTTCTATCCCAACTGTGGTTGGCTCTGGAGTTGTTGGCTCTGGAGTCGTTGGCTCTGGAGTCGTTGGCTCTGGAGTCGTTGGCTCTGGAGTCGTTGGCTCTGGAGTCGTTGGCTCTGGAGTCGTTGGCTCTGGAGTCGTTGGCTCTGGAGTCGTTGGCTCTGGAGTCGTTGGCTCTGGAGTCGTTGGCTCTGGAGTCGTTGGCTCTGGAGTCGTTGGCTCTGGAGTCGTTGGCTCTGGAGTCGTTGGCTCTGGAGTCGTTGGCTCTGGAGTCGTTGGCTCTGGAGTCGTTGGCTCTGGAGTCGTTGGCTCTGGAGTCGTTGGCTCTGGAGTCGTTGGCTCTGGAGTCGTTGGCTCTGGAGTCGTTGGCTCTGGAGTCGTTGGCTCTGGAGTCGTTGGCTCTGGAGTCGTTGGCTCTGGAGTTGTTGGTTCAGGTGTGGTTGGCTCTGGAGTTGTTGGTTCTGGAGTGGTAGGAGATGGAGTGGTAGGAAATGGAGTCGTTGGCTCTGGAGTCGTTGGCTCTGGAGTCGTTGGCTCTGGAGTCGTTGGCTCTGGAGTTGTTGGCTCTGGCGTCGTTGGCTCTGGAGTTGTTGGCTCTGGAGTTGTTGGCTCTGGAGTCGTTGGCTCTGGAGTCGTTGGCTCTGGAGTCGTTGGCTCTGGAGTCGTTGGCTCTGGAGTCGTTGGCTCTGGAGTCGTTGGCTCTGGAGTCGTTGGCTCTGGAGTCGTTGGCTCTGGAGTCGTTGGCTCTGGAGTCGTTGGCTCTGGAGTTGTTGGTTCAGGTGTGGTTGGCTCTGGAGTCGTTGGTTCAGGTGTGGTTGGTTCTGGAGTGGTTGGTTCTGGAGTGGTAGGAGATGGAGTCGTAGGAGATGGAGTCGTTGGTTTTGGAGTCTGAAGTTATGAAATTATCAGCAAAGAACACAGTTTTTTTGTGTAAATTGTAGATATGTTTCTTTTTGAAGAGCTAAAAATGAAAATTATTTTAATTGCTAACCGGTTTTACAAAACATTTTGGTACATTGCGAGGCCAGTCACATCGCTGCGTTCTCTCGTTCAAGTAGAAGGTTCGCTGAGGAGAGAAAAGTTGGTCACATTTATTTTATTTGTCGCTAACAAAATATTGTTCAATCATTGCTTAAGCTGTGAAAGTAAGGTAAAACTTACAGGACACTTTTTATACCACTTGTTACGTCCCCTGACATTCCCAATAGTATCTGCAGTCTTTCAGATTCACAAACTTACCATCACGTCGGCATTTGAACTGAGTTATTGGTAATATCTAAAAATCTGGTAGAAAGTCAATTATTGATAAAATGTTTGTTAAATGTTAAATTGGATTTCAAGAAATTTACCACAGATAACGAAATCTTCCGCGCAATTAGCTGGTAAGTTATGGTAATGCTAAAAAACACTTTTACTTTAAAATTATCAATATCCTATCTTACTCCTTTATTCTTGTCATTATCTGAATCTGAGTCACTGCTGGAGTCACCGCTGGAGCCGCTACTGCGACTGGATCTGAACCTCATTGAATCACCAGACTCTTCGAGGTCAAACATTGGTCCTTGTTTAGTATTCCAGCCGTCTCCAAAGCTAAAACCATCCTCTAGTTCCGATTCGTGCTCGATGAAGTCAAGATCAAGCCCGTATCTCAGGGCAAAGAGACAACATATTAACAATAGGATCCTCTGAAAAATTCAATCAACATAATTAAGAGATATAATCACATAATCATAGCTCCTAATATATATTAGTTGACCAATAAATCATAAAAAATAGTAAAGATAAAGTTCAATTTTAAATAAACTTACCATCTCAGTGAAGACTCAAAAATTTAACCAAACGCCCTTACGTTAAAAAAAGTGAAATAATAATTCTGAATAAAAACCTCTAATAAAGGTAACGAAGCGCATTAAAGAGAAGCACCAAGCTTGACAAGGCCATTGTCTTAAAACCTGCTAAAAATGATCCATCTGAGAGAAAGACTGAAAGTCGGTCACGGTCTCTCGATCAGATTCAAGACTCAGTCATTTCAACTTTTGAGAGCTCGTAAAAATCTTCATTCCAGTTGACTAACGCAATTAAAGAATAAAGTAGTTTTGTTATTGGAGGGGAGGGCGGAACAGCTGCCTCTGTTCGCGGAATTTCTACAAGAACAATAAGAACAATGTGAGTCCTTGAAGATGGTACCCAGTGTTCACACATGAGCAGGGAAGATATTTAGGGGTGGACAGTACGGACATCGTCCATCAGGTTACCAGTATCCCTCCTGAAACAGGTGTTTAATGTGTTTCACGTATTACAGGAATATGTGCAGTCTCCGGTTTTTCTCATTTTCAGTCACGAAACCACAAGTGTAAATGATAGTTAATATTTTAAAATTCGGATCCAAGTCTGTGCTAATCAGTACCAAAACACAAGTATTTACACATTTATATTGGGGTTTAGAAAAACTCATCGGTTTCGTAAAACGATTTAAAACATTGATAATATACTGAAAAAGATGTAACAAAGTAAATATGTTTCCCGTTGCAAAATTAAAAGAGCCTGTTAGATTTCTACATTACGTTCATTCCTTCTGCGTGAACTGTTTTGGCTAAAACTTGTTTTCAAATGAATTGTTAAAAGGTTTTCTCAGGTAAACAGGAAATCAACCCCTAGAAATAAGAACAATGTCACATTATCACAATTATATATGATATGAGTATCTATGTAAGATCTTTAGTTCCAAAGTTATAAGTTAATTAGCAACTGCTTCAGCTAATGATTACCACAGGTATTTCAATACAGATAACTTTCACGCTGTCTTGATCTTGAAGGATCCATCTTGAAACTATCTTAATAGCTGGGTACGCTGACTCCACTTTCAGTGCCTGGAGATATCCATCATTCGGTTCAGAATCTATTTAGTGTTAGTAGCCCATTTATATTTTACAATTAGATGCCCTGAGGGGTTAGGTGGCAGATTGCATACAATTTTAACTGAAAATAGCTTTTATAACGAGGAATTTATAGGAATTCGGTATTCCTTGGTATTTCTAGGAGCTGAGGAATTCGTGACCACACAGTCTTTGACAGGACTGTTATAAGCGCTGTATATTCTACTCTATAATATAAATAATAATAATAAGTCATTATGCCGACTTAGCCGCAATGTCAGCACGATATGGACGCTCTGTCGCAAGAGCTTCAACTGTGTAATAAACACTATACACTGTATACATTAACAATGTATGTAGTGAAACATCGAACCCCCGACCAGAAAACCCCGGGCCAATTATAATAACCATTGGACATAAATAACAGATTTTCATGTTTGGCGACAATACAAGAATACAATTAACTGAGGTTAACTTATTTGCGGCAATTTACAATTGTGATGGCATTAATCTGGTCCGGGGTTTGAAGTTTCACATTATTTAGTAACTCTTTAACTGTAACTTTAAACAACTTATATTGCAGTACCATTTGTCAGTTAGTGTGTCAGAATATGTCATTGTAATTTTGCATGGCTGAAATGTAACGCTTGATTTATATCTATTTAATAATTAATTGAATTCTCAAATAAAAACTATATGAGTGAAAGTGTTACCGCGGAGTAGGTAGAGTCGGTAGCAGCGCTTATAGGACACACATTACCACATGCCACACATCCGTCCCTAGAAACATATTAGTATTACTGAAATATGAGTAAAAATATGGAAAATTGTATTAATTAAAATCGAAATTAATTATATCGACTATAATTGAGAGTACTTGATTATAAAGCAATTTCAAATACCTTATCGGACTTTATCTGAACGGACGTTAATTGAACGCTGGGGGCCCTACCGTTTATAATTTTAATGTCCGTTCAAATAAATTCCACAAGGTAGTTAACTTAGAGTTAAATACATTAAATAAATGCTCTCTCTCTCTCTGTTCTGGTCAACGGTTTCTGGCCTCTTACTAAAAGATGGAGGCCTTATCACCGTGCCCACAGAATGCAACTCCTGCTAGCTGCACGCCAGGACTCCCAAAGTATATACGAAATCATAAAATAATAAATATCAATGCAACAGACCCCTGGAGTCTTGAAGCTGTCACTACCTGTCTCAGAGCAAACCCACTTCCGTTGTAGTACTTCTGCGGGCAGACAAGGGACTTCCGAGCAAGGTCAAAGCCTGGGAGATATGTCTCTATGCGGAGATGGGCCTAGGTTGAGTTCCTAGTATGGGATTTAGCGAAAGTTCCTGGTGAAGAATCCTAGGAGGTTACCCAAAAGGGTTTTCCCTATCCAGTCTTGTCGACTGTTCCACAAATTTGAAGATATGATTGAAGTTTACTGTTTTTAAGGTAGAGTTTACCAATTATCCTCATTCTGAACGTCATGATCTGGATGCACTTGCAGAGAAGGTGCTGGGATGTTTCTGCTTCTCCTGAAAAGTGTTCACAATCTTGCGTCTCGAAGTTGACGTTGTTTGCCACGTTCTGAAAATAAACTAGTGGGCGGCTGTGACCTATCCTGAAAGCGACCATGTAAGCCATCTGATGTGAGTTCCAGAAAAATTAAAGTTCCTGTATTTATATTTGTGGAGGAACATCTCAAGTGGAATGTTTCTTTGTCACTGAGTGTGGCCTAATTGGGAGGAACGGTTCTGGTCCGATGGGGATGTTGTTGGATTGATCTCCCTTGCGAATTCGTCCGCTAGTTCTTTACCGTATACTCCTTCATGTCCTGGAACGAAGTTCTAAAGAGGTCCACTATGCTTTAGTGAGCTATACTGTCCACCAGGGTACTGTAGATCTAAGGGTTCCCCGTGTAATGGGGCAGGCTGTGAAAAAGCATCTCTGCAGGATGTCCGAGATGAACTGTTTTCGAGTGTTGAGAACTTCCGCTGTAGAACTGAATAGAACCAGTTGCAGTAGGGGTGTCAGTCAAACACTGCTGGCTACTAGATGATTGTAGAGCGTCCAGTCACATTTCAATGAAGAGTGTGGCAAAGCTAACCCGGTCCCCTGAAAAGTGGTTACTGGAGGAAGAAGTGCCAGGAATTCTCGCTATCAGTGTGTCCTCGTAGTCAGAGTTGACATCCCTAACACTGTCTTATCACGAGCCTGTGTCTAGCGTGTGTCAGCCCTAACGCATTAGCTGTCTTAACTGAAAAGACCTGAAAAGTGGTTACTGGAGGGAGAAGTGCCAAGACTACTCATTATCAGTGTGTCCTTGTAGTCAGGATGAGCAAATTGGAATCCCTAGCTCTGTGGTGGGTGACTTCGATGGGACCTGAAAGCTGAAAGAGAATTTCCTGGTGATTTAATAGCTCTTAGAGCTATGTATCTGTGTCTAACGTATCGTCGTTTGTGTGTGTACTATCTTGTAACCTGATATCTGAAAGAGAAATTTCCTGGTGCTTGGTAGCTGTTAGTGTTGACTTCCTGGTTCCTATGGGAACTTTGAGTTGGCAAGTCCCAACCTTTGTACTCAACAAGAGAGCACACCACCCGTTAGTGCCAACCAGGCCACACCACGTGGAGGTTCGGAGAGGATTTCGTGACCCATTAAATAAATGCATTCGAGCGTTCATTTTAATGTCCGTTCAAAATTATGTCCGTTCACGCAATGTCCGGTTAAATAAAGTCCGATAAGGTAGTTAATGTTAGTTACGGTTGTGGGAGAGGGAAGGGGATGGGGATGCCGGAGATAACTCCGTATAACAAAGCTTTGAGAGTGGTGACTTGTCCGGCCGGTTTAAACTCCATTTGTATCTGGTAGGAGTGTCCTGGGATTGAGAGTGTGAGATTATTATCAGTAATTAACAATTAATAAATTAGTAATTAACAGTAACATTTCACCATTGTTATCACCTTCAGAGTTCAAATATAAAAGACTGAAATCGTCTATAATAACGGTCCTAATATAGACCTGATTCCAGTGAGGAGATGAGGTATTTTTGTTTTGACACGTGACAGAGATTCTGGCTATATTAATTGGCCAGTGCAATGAAAGCTGATTTGTTAATCGGGTGTCGGAAGAAAATATCGTTTTAAAATAGTTTTTATTTCTTTTTAATGTAGTTTTTAATTACAATTAAGTTTTTGATATTTAGTTATTTGTTTTAGGGAAAGATTAGACTTGGGCGTTGTTTTTAGCTTTCCCTTGTTTAAAACTTTGATTTAATAAAAAACTCAGCTAAAAATACCTTTCTTAGCTTTGCAAACTGGGTCAGCACAATCCTCACTAAAGACTTTGATCACTTCACCCGTACTACCACAGTCTTTGTGAGCCAGATCAACACCGTAGCAGACACATAAAGAGAAAAAGAGGAAGAGGAAAGTGCGAGGAGATACCATCTGTAGTAGTTAGACGGGGTAACAAGCTAATTTTAGTGCTAATGGATATGAATTTTAAACTAACTACCACATGCTACAAATCTATTACATTTATTGAGAATTATGTGATGTAACGTGATGGAAATATTTTAAACGGGTCATATCCTGTCCAAACCCAGGATGCATAACAATAACATGAAAAATTCGTTGTAACTTTGTATGAAAAGCATTAATAAATATATAAATATATAACAAGCTAACTGAACATTTACAGCGTGCTATGTTATATTATAAAATATATTCGCTCATTATTATGGGTTTTTTATGACTTTTATGAACTCTTTTGTTGAACATATTTTCGAGCAGCATATTATGTAGAACTACTTAATCAAATGAATTGAAACTGAATTTTTTAGTATCTTTAATGAGTTATTTAGATGATATATATAACCAAGAGGCTTGCATATACCAGATTTCAGAATACAGAGTCGTACAAAAGATAACAATCAGCAAGATATGAACCCCTATAATTAAACAACAACGTGGTTGGATATGGTATATTCAAAGTAATTGCAAATGCAATGGGTCTGTTATGACTTTCACGTATCTAAAATAACTGATAAGAAGTTGAACTGCCAACTTGATAAGGATAGTATCACCTCATAAAATTCTACTTAGAATCGGCTGATATTGCGATCACATTACAGCTTTGTTTGATAAAAAAACAAGTCAGTCTTCTATAAAGTTAATTTGTTACTACACAATAAAGCTACATTTAAGTCTTGTCACCCAAATTTAAGAACGTGGTTTTTTAATAGCGAGGCTGGGCCTCGCGGGTGGCCCACGAAAGGATAGCATGTGGCTGCTTGCCTACCTCTGGAGCTCTGGGGTATAAATCAAGAGGCTTGCATATAATGAACATATTGGCAGTCCTATGGGAAGATGCCGGTGGAATCAGAATGTGTTATCAAGGATGATGGTAAGTGTTGTGAGATGTGTCATAAATGAATGCTTAAGTGGGTTCTTTTGCGATAGTCAAAACGGTACAACTAGCGCTGGATGGCGACAACTAGCGCTATCCAGCGCTAGTTGTCGCCATCCAGCGCTAGTTGTCGCTATCCAGCGCTGGATAACGCTATCCAGCGCAAAATATATATATTCGATAATTGTCGCTATCCAGCGCTAGTTGTCACCATCCAGCGCTAGTTGTCACCATCCAGCGCTTGTTGTCGCTATCCAGCACTAGTTTGTCACTGGCTATGCGACACTGTCGCACCCGATAGTTTGCGATGGCCAGCGCAACTGGCCATCGCAGAAAACAGTTCGATAACTAGCGCTGGATAGCGACAACTAGCGCTGGCCAGCGCTGGCCATCGATAGCCAGCGCAAAATGTTTGCGATATTACTCGTCAGCTAGCGCTGGCCAGCGCAATGTATCAAAATCATATACTTGCGATATTACTATATACTTGCGATATTACTATTAGAATAGAGATAGAGATTCGGCGGAATGACAGGCTGAGCGCCGCCCAGTAAGTTGAGCTTCGCCCAGCTAGTAAGACTAAGCCAACGTTAGCTGACGATTAGATTATAAATGTAGGTTTATAACCGTACCTTTACAAATTGAAATATATGCGCACCGAGTTGAAAAAATATTTCCAATTTTACGAGATCACCCGTTAAGCTGACAAGAAATATTGCAAATATATTGCGCTGGTCAGTCAGCGTACCAGCTAGCTGACGCCGAATAGGGTGTTTTGGCCGTTCTAACTTAAGACTTTTAAGAATTAAAGCAGCCGTATTGATCTTCCAAACCTACAACTTTCAAGGGCTAGAATTCGCTGTATTTTGCCGTTAAAACACAACTTGAACTGTTTAACTTCATGATTGGGCCGTAGTTCAAAAGCAAATTGGCAAGAAGTGGTGCTCACGGTCTCACTTAACGTCACTTATCGCTCAGTTAAGAGCGACCATGGTCTTAAGCGACAGACAGCCTGCAGGCATATGATCCGAATACGAAATATCCTTGTGTTCGGCATTTAATAGCCCTAATTGGTTACTTCGTACCCATGAAAAGTTACCGGCTGGTGGTGGTACTAGAGTTGGTTTAATTTAAACAGACGGCTTGACCTCGCGCGCGACAACAACTAAGCATGATTTGCACGCGTGGCGTATTCCAATGTTCAGGCAGCTACCACGTGACACAATTCAGCCAACCAGAGTACAGGAATCCGCAAAGTTAAAGTTGCAAACTTTTGATCGGCCCGAAAGGGGACTTTTCTGGAGATTTTGATATAACTCAACAATTACGTTGTCTTGAATTTTCCTCCTGGAGAGGTAACGTTACTTTTAAAAGAGGAACATGTTACAAAAAACCGGAAGTCTCCAACTCTTTTACTTTCAAAGTTAAGCCCCATCCGGTTAGGGTTCCTGGGGTCAGCTGACGATTAATAATATCGCAAATATTTGATTATGGTATATTGCGCTGGCTAGCGCGGGCCAGCGCAAGCTGACGAGTAATAATAATATCGCAAATATTTGATTTTGAGTTATTATATTGCGCTGGCCAGCGCTAGCTGACGAATAATATTATTATTGCAACTATATTGCGCTGGCCAGTGCTGGCTGACGAGCAATATCGCAAATATTTGATTTTTATATTTTGCGCTGGCCAGCGCTGGCTGACGAGTAATATCGCAAGTATATCACTGTATATGATTTTGATACATTGTACATTGAATTGCGCTGGCCATCGCTCATCGCTGGCTAGCGCTGGCTAGCGCTGGATAGCGCTGGCTGCATTTTAACGCACAGTTAATTGGAGCACAGGAAAACACTTATATCGATATTTGGAGCACTAAGAGGAAAGACAATAACGTATATTCTTTAAATTACATTATAAAATAGCGCTTAATACATTAAAAAATACCAAAAACTTTATAAGTGTATCAAAACAAATCACTAAAAAAGCATGATAAGAAATTCACAAATCAGTAAAAACATAGCCGTTAACAAGGTAAGACTTCGTTACCACTTCCTTTTCTGTAGAATGGGTTAGAGTACTGGTACAGATATTAGCGAAGGATACAGCCTTTTTAATTTTAACCAGTGAGTTGGAGGACTCCTTGTCCGACGAAAGCTGTTTTCTACAATAAATTGAAGTTGAATTGTCCAGGGAGGTTTTCTTAAATCTTCGTGGAGGCTTCACGATACCTCTTGGCGGGAGAGTTGGGGCTTTAAGTGAAAGTGTTCCATTCACCAAGGAGTTAGCAGCTGATGTGATGGTAGGGTATGTCATTGGTTTTATCTGGATAATATGACGGGAATTATCACTGCTCGTGGATCTGAACCGTTGTTTTAAACCCGAGCTTACTGATCTATAGCAAGGTTTTGGAGTAGACCTCAAACGTTTCTTTGTAATTACCTTTCGAACCAGGCTCCTCCAAAACCTTCTCCTGGTACGTCCCTTTTCAGAGGATTTACACGGGGTCTCTACATTTTCAGAAGGTCCAGAAGGCGTCTCTAGATCACGTGACTTCTTCAAACACACCGCCCCAGGTCGGGGTAAGATGGGGTTATGACAGTAGGCGTGTTCGTAGGTAGAATCAAGGTTGGGCGTCTGCTTGATAGGGAACTGCAGGATGAGTTTGTGAGCAGGTATGATCCGTGTTCCTGCTTTGTAGCAGTGGTTTTGTGGCAAGACCTCCTGGTAGGGTGGTGGTGGTGGGGAGAAAAACTGAAGGGCAGGAGGAGGGGGAGGAGGAGGGGGAGCGTGAAACTGAGCAGTAACTGTTTTCTGGTGCATGATGGTGTATCTGAAGTAGGCTCGAAGTAGTGCTTTGTAACAAGATCTGACTGATTAATATTGTGATAGAAGTATAGGACTGATGATGGTTGTATCAGATATGAGGGGTTTATATATCTTGATGGAGATGATTCTGTCGTATGGCTATCTCTGATGACCTCGTCAAAGCTAAACAGAAACTGTGTTCTGTAACGTGATAAATGACGTAACCGAGAGTTGTCACATGATCAATGACGTACCCTGGAGTTGTAGTGACCCACGTGACACAAGATCGTCAGACCACACGTGTCGTGTGTCCCTGTCATTTGATTGGTCACATGTGATCCACCATCATGTGATCCTGTCGGACCACTGACTGACTGACTATCAGTCAATGTGATCAGATAGTTAGACACACGATGGAATTAGATCGTCATATGTTTCTTAGGATATTACGGTTTTTACATCTACAGATTCACGTTCAGTATTCTATAACTTGGTGGCAAGAGATTATTTATAATCTCAGGGAATAGTGATCGTGAAGGCAGTGAAGCCAATAACCTCTCCTATTCCAATGACCATAGTGCGTGATGAAGAATCACATCCTTTTCGAGGTGCTACTATTAAGCATTGTAATCTGTCCTGGGTGACTCCAGTATAAACAGATGACGTGCAACAAAACACTATGGATCTAGACAGGCAAAGGTCGATAAAAAACCGGGTGCGAGATGCTGGCAACTTCTCCTCTCTAAAAGTTTGCTACTGAAACATTACACACAAATCAAGGACGGTGTGCTTCTACCTCTGCAAGGTCGGGTGAGACCAGGATGACGGCAACTGGGCAAAGCCTCAGGGACCCCAGTGGCCTGATGAGAAGAGTGGTTGCTCGTCATTACAACAGAGTAATTAGTCAACAGATCGCTCATGTTGACACTGATTTCAGCAAGTCCAATCCTATCAACTACAGCAAACACTCAATGTACTTTGGAACCTGGAATGTTTTATCTTTAGTCAGCTCATCTTCACAGCTTTATCAACTCAGTCAGAACATTGATCACTACAGTCTTGATATTTTGGGTATTACTGAAACTCATATGCCAGGATCTGGAAGTACACTTTTGGACAATGGTAGTCTACTTATTCATTCTGGTAGGGGAGATGGTATCAAAAGGCAAGGGGTTGGCCTATGTCTTTCCAAAAAGGTCAGGAACTCCCTGATCTCTTATGTACCTACATCAGAGCGGGTCTTAACAGCTAGGTTACACGGCAAACACCTCAACATATCTGTTGTTGTAGCCTACGCTCCGACTGACGGTGCTGATGACGGAGAGAAAGATCGTTTTTACAACGTTTTATCAGACACGTTTGGTGAACTGCCCCGACATGATCTGAAACTGCTACTGGGTGACTTCAATGGAAAAGTTACTTCAAACAGATATGGTTTCGAGGGAGTTATTGGTGGAGAATCTCTCCATAGTTCATCAAGCGACAATGGGACCAGGCTCATGGATTTCTGTGCAGCCAATCAACTTGTTATTGGTGGAACTCTGTTCCAGCATAGAGACATCCACAAGGGTACATGGCGGTCTCCTAACGGGTTAACTGTAAATCAAATAGATCATATTTGTATTAGTGGACGATTCCAACACTCGCTACTCGATGTTAAGGTATGTCGTGGGGCTGACATTGGTTCAGATCACTATCCTGTTCGTGGACGGCTGTAAATCAAACTGCAGTCGGTAGCTAAGATCACTGCTAAAAGGCACGATGTGCCTGCTATCGAACATTTGCGAAACTCGTCTAAGGTTCAAGAGTACAACGTGGCTCTTCAGAACCGTTTTGATTGTCTGGCTAATGAGGTCAACCTTGAGGACATGTGGGATAATTTCAAGCAGACAGTCACTGATGTCTCGATGGAAGTGCTTGGAAAGCGTCCCCGGAAGGTTAAAGAACAACACCTTTCGCAAACCTCTAAGAACTTGATAGAGCAACGGGGAATGTTCAAACGGAGGGATCCCACTTCAAACGTCAATAGATCAGCCTACTCTAAACTTAATAAATTAGTTAAGAAAAGTTGTAAAATTGACGACAACAACTGGGCTACTAAAATAGCGACTGATCTAGAGGAGGCTTCTAAGAAAGGCCAGCAAAGGGAAGTTTAGGATAAGATAAAGAAGATTTCTGGGAAAAAGAAGAAGAAAGTGGGTATGTCAGTTAGGGATAAGGACGGTCATTTTATTACAGACCCGGACAGTCAGAAGGAAAGGTGGAAGGAGCACTTTACTGAGCTCTTAAATCCTCCACTATCGGATGCCAATCTTGATGACCTCGATGGTGTGCCCTCACAACCGAGTTTTGACTACCTTTCTTGTTCTGATGGACCTCCTTCTAGAGATGAGATTAGTTATGCTCTAAAGAAACTGAAGAACTGCAAAAGTGCAGGGGTTGATGAGATAACTAATGAACAACTTAAGTATGGTGGAAGTGCTCTTGTTGGCCAACTAGAGCTACTGTTTAAAAAGGTATGGGAGGAAGAGGTGATCCCTGAGGATTGGCTTAAAGGTGTTATAGTGGTTATCGGAAAGAAGGGAGACACCTCATACTGCTGCAATAATAGGGGTATAACTCTTAGGGCAACGTCTTCTAAGGTTCTTCAAATGGTTCTTCTTAAGAGGCTGGATGTTGGTATGGACTATGGAGTGTCTTCTTAGGGAAAATCAGTGTGGGTTCAGACGGAACCGCTCATGTATTGATCAGATTTATTCCATCCGCACCATTATTCACAACTGCATTGAGTTTAACATTCCACTTTATGTTAATTTCATTGATTTTAAGGCAGCGTTTGATTCCATCAGAAGAGAGTTTATTTGGTCAAGCATGAGACACTATTGACTTCCTGAGAAATATGTTAGAATCTTTCAGGCATTCTTCAACGGAACCATGAGTGCTGTCAGGGTTAATGGTGAAATGTCTGATTGGTTCTCTGTCAATTCGGGCACTGGACAGGGTGATATCCAGGGCCCCCCTGTATTTAATTTTTGTCTGAACTTTGGAATCTTTTTGGCCGAGGTTCACAAGGCAATCAGTCATGGTGCTGTACTGCAAAAGGAACTAAAGGGTGCAGATGAAAAAGTTATCATGGATAGTGACTACGCTGATGATCTGGCAGTGATGGACAATACTGAAGAAGGGCTGCAAGAGTCCACTGATCTTATAGCTTATTACACCTCTTATGCTGGGTTGAAGATCAACGCTAAAAAGACACAATGCATGGCGATCAGCAAGTGTGCGTCCCAGCGACCTTACACCGAAAGAGACAGTATAAAGCTAACAGTGGAGGGAGAACCTGTTGAACAGGTCAGCAACTTTGTTTATCTTGGTGCCAACATCAGTGGGGATGGTACCATTGACCGAGATCTTGACATCAGGATCCAGCGTGCTAATGGTGCGTTCCATCAGCTTTGGAAGATATGGAACAGTCGAACTATAAGAACGCCCACCAAGATCCGTATCTACAAGGCTGCTGTTATTACTATTCTGTTATATGGAGCCGAAGTGTGGAACACAACAAAGAAGCAGATGAAACGGTTTGAGGTCTTCCATCTGACCTCCCTGAGAAGAATCTTGAAGATAAAGTGGTTCTTCCATGTCTCCAATGAAGAAGTTCTCAGGCGTGCTGGAATTAAGTCTATCGAAACTTTCATCGGTGCGGCTAGACTAAGGTGGTACGGACATGTTGTCAGAATGCCAGAGACGCGGTTTCCCAATTTCCTACTGGATTGGAAACCAAACTATGGAAAGAGACTGAGAGGACGACCCCGCAAAGGCTGGATGGCCTGTGTACTCGAGGATGCGGCTGAATTTACAGGTGTCGATAACATCAGCAGAGATGCAGTAAAACAGTTGGCTCTAAAGCGAGTGGAATGGAGGAACATGTTACGCCGTAGAAGAGATGTGTGTGATGCAGGCCACTCCAACGACTAGGAGGAGACCTCTTCATGTAGCATGTATGTATTCTATAACATGCATAACATGCATTAACCAGATTCTGACGACTTTTTTTAGAGATATTCAGAGTATCTCGACACAGCTGTCTCGACGAGTAGCTTAAATCACTCATAATACACACTAGACGTGTCTACAATTTCAAAATAGTGAAAGTGGTTGCTAGCAGTTCAATGAACGCTTGAGAGTAACCGGCAAATAGCTGGTTTGATGATAGATTCGAGCTCTAGTACCGGCTTTTAGGGAGTGTTCCAGACCGGTTGTGATGATGTTCGACCTCTTTGTTTTGTTGCTGGGCCAAGTTAGCCCACGTACGAGAGGATAGCATTGAGATGCTCTGCCTACCTCTGACTTGTGGCAACCCTGGGGAAGGTTGCCGGAGAAATCAGAGTGAATGGTGGAAAACCTTATTCGGTACATTGAGCAGAATTTCGTTACCGAACACTATGACTAATAGTAATAGTGAATTTATTTATTAAAATTTATTAAAGTCAGTTTATGATTATTGATTGTTGATGAGCTGCTTGATAATTCAATTCCTTTAATCGAATTATAATTACATATTATAAAATTGTATAACATTTAATAGGTGCAGCTATAACTCACACGTGACCCGTAACAGCTCTAAATCGCACGTGACACATGACAGATCTAAATCGCACGTGAAAATGACCAGACCACTTGAAACAGCACAACCGCTCTCTCAAGAACAATACGCCAGAACATTTGCTACAGTTATAGCAAAAACAACAGAATACACAGCAATGAAGAACATAACCAAGTCGGTGATTACGGATAACAAGTTCAACATAAGAACATATCACCAATACACATGCTGAGTGTAGGAGCAGGGACAGGAGGGTTTGAAGTGGATCTTGTGGGGGAACTGGGGTTGAAGTTGAATTATATTTGTGCTATCGAACCGAACCATGATCATGGAGTGGTTTTGGAGACTACTTTGAGAAGTCTTGATGTGGAGCACGATATCAACAGATCATTTTTCAGTAAAGATTTTGAGTTCAGCGAGGAATCGAAAGCAGCAAAGCGGAGTTTTGATTTGATTTTGTTTTCGCATAGTTTATATGGGTTTGATGACCCTGATGGAGCGGTTGCTCATGCCACAAATTTCCTGAAACCTACCGGGAAAATACTTGTCCTCCATCAGGGAGCTCCTGGAAGTGCAAATCTTTTTACTTACTTAACAAGTAAAAGTGATCCTAACATCTTCTCTGCAAGGAAAACATTCGTTGACCATTCTTTAACTGCGGAAACAATAATATCTCGCCTCCAAGAAAACTACACAAATATACCGATGAAAGCTGTCCAAGAAAAGACGTACGTGGACGTTGATAGTTTCGTGAGAAAAACCAGCGATTCAAACAGGGACCACGTGATATCGTTCTTCTTGCAGGCGGAGTACCAGGATCTGACTGAGGAGGCTCAGGAGGATATATATAATATGGTGGAGAGTGAGAGTGTGGTTATTGAGGGGAAGTATTTCAGGGGTCATTCGTGTGTTGGAATTGTTTTGTCGGGATCCGGTTTTTAACTTGGAAAAAGTGAAATGTCGCAACCATTGTTACTGTGTCTCCATGATATGTACAGTAGCAGTAGGCAAGAAAAGCTCCCTTAGTTTATATTTAAGATCATCAGTATCGCACGAAATCTTTTACCTAACGGCTGAGGACAGCTCAAACTTAGAAGAAGATTGATGCAGTTTAGTGGCGAGTCTGCATCCCTTGAAAAGACGAACATTTTATGATTACAATTTTTAATTCTAAGTTCATGTTTACAGTTCAGAATGAAGGATTTTCTATTCCATTTAATCAGACAAATATTTTCGTTTCCTCTATATTGCTAAGTTCATAAACAAACTTTATTGCATCCCGTCAACTTGAAACATGAAAACAACGAAAATAGATTAGGGAAATAAACTGCTGCATTTTTTGGTGGGGATCAGCAGAGTTTTCTAGCGCTAATATTCAAGCTTGAAATGGTTTTTGATTCTGAAATGCGAATGGTTCCGTTGCTGAAAATTTTTCGATCTCATATGAGTATGACATATAAACAAATTTGCGATCCAAAATGTAACTTTTGTTATGAGAATCATTTGTTGAATAACAGGAATACTTTCGGGCAAAGCAAACGAAATTTATTAATCCAACTTAAATTTTCATTTATTTTGAATGTTTATTTTCGCGTTTTTAGTTATTTTCACTAATTGGATCAAGTCACATTGTCGTACATTGTGTTTAGCCATTAAAATTACATATGTTCTGAAAAGATGGAAGCCCTGGCAACAGCTCAGATGACCAAGAAAATTGATATAAGATGATTATTGATTATAACAAAATGCATACTATAACGTCATACTATAACGTCATACTATAACGTCATACTATAACTCATAGCAGACTTAATAGATAATAGCTGATGAGTTATCAGGTTGCTTCAAAGACGAAAATCAGGTAAGGTACATAACTATAAGGTATGCACTTAAATTAACATCATTATTTACACTTAAAACTAAAATAAAACAAACGCACTGAATTGGCACTAATCTGTATATTTCTCAGGACGCAAATAATTAATTAATTAATTAAGTATGATTTCAGTAAAATATGGGTCATAGCCCAGACAAGGCTGGTCGGTCGGAGGTTCGTCGACCTCCGACCGACCTCCGACCGGCGCTCGACCGGCGCCCGACCGACCTCCGACCAACCTCCGACCAACCTCCGACCGGCGTTCACCTACGGCCGACCGACCTCCGACCGGACTCCGAACGACCTCCGACCGACCCCCGACCGGCGCCCGACCGGCGCCCGACCGACCTCCGACCGACCTCAGACCGACCTCCGACCGACCTCCGACCGACCTCCGACCGGCGCCCGACCGACCTCCGACCGACCTCCGACCGACCTCCGACCGACCTCCGATCGACCTCCGACCGACCTCCGAACGACCTCCGACCGACCCCCGACCGGCGCCCGACCGACCTCCGACCGACCTCCGGCCGACCTCCGACCGGCGCCCGACCGATCTCCGACCGACCTCCGACCGACCTCCGACCGACCTCCGATCGACCTCCGACCGACCTCCGAACGACCTCCGACCGACCCCCGACCGGCGCCCGACCGACCTCCGACCGACCTCCGAC